GATGTATCAAGTGTCAAATCTACGGCCCCATACAAAGGGTACTGGCCGAAGCCCTCCACCCGGTTACCAAACCATGGCCGTTCAGAGGGTGGGCCGTGGATATCATCGGCAAAATCCATCCAGCTGCGTCCAACCAACACGCGTGGATTTTGGTGGCGACCGACTATTTCACCAAATGGGTCGAGGCCGAGTCCTATCGGTCAATATCTAGCGCACATGTGGTCAAATTCTTTGAGAATCACATCGTTCACCGGTTCGGTATTCCAAAAACTATCACGGCCGATAACGGCCCGGTGTTCGCATCGGCCGAGACACGGGAATACACCGAGAAAATGGGGATCAAATTGATCCACTCAACACCTTACTACCCTCAATCTAACGGACAGGCCGAGGCAAGTAACAAAGTAATCAAAGGTATCCTTAAGAAGATGATCAAGGAAAAACCTAGGGTGTGGCACGACTTACTCCCCGAAGCTCTTTGGGCGTACCGAATCTCACAGCACTCGGCCACGGGCACATCTCCTTTCGCCTTAACCTACGGTCACGACGCCATCGTCCCAATGGAGTTAAAGGTTCGGTCTCTCCGTGTGGCCGAGCAGCCTGAACAAGAAAAGGGGGATTATGCACAAACCATGGGTCAGGAGTTGGAAGATTTGGAGCAATCTAGACTCGACGCTCATAACCTCATGCAGGCACAGAAGCAGGTTGCGGCGAGGGCTTACAATAAAAAGGTTAAGCAAAAAGCTTTCGCCAAAGGCGACCTAGTATGGCGAGCCGTGCTTCCTATTGGGACGAAGGACCCTCGGTTCGGCAAATTTTCGCCCAACTGGGAAGGGCCGTTCATCATCGAACGAATTCTTGGGCGGGGTGCATTTCAGTTAAGAGATAGAGATGGGGAGTGGCACAACCTGCCGATCAACGGCCAATATTTGAAAAGATATACCCCGTCATTATGGGAGACGACCGTAAAAAAGTTATGAGATTTGCAAATATCAAAAGTGGAGTATGCAACACGACAAAGACAAACTAAAGGAAATCATACTTCATTTTATTCATTTAGTTTAAAAAGGGGGACACGTTTACAAGGAAACGGCCAGGTCATGGCCGAGTACAAACACACATAAGAAAAATCACATCCTAAATCTACGCGCTTCGGCTCCGTAGTCTTCTTGCTAGGCAATCAGACGCTTTTTCCCCGAGGCAGGACCTCCGCCACCCATTTCGTCATCAGCCACGGCCAGCCTAAAGCCAGGGCTTCACTCCAGCCATGGTAAGTAGTCGCCATTCCGGCAGTGGCAGCGGCCGTCGTTCAGGCCGTGGTAGCGGCCATCACTCTAGACATGGTAAGCGGTCGTCATTCCGGTTATGGCAGGAGCCATCACTCCAGCCATGGTTAGGGCCGTCACTCCGGCCATGGATGTGACCAGGGTACTCAGCCACATAAATTCGGCCACAATGGGGTCATCATCCCAGGTCCTCTCGCCCTCATCAAACTACCAAGTCATCTGGACCAGGCCAAATTGCCAAGTCATGAGACTCAGGAGATATGGTTCCCTGGTTTTGAAGAGGCTGCAATGAGGATCATTAGGGCAGGTTGAAATAGGGGACGACGAAGCCCAGGAATCAAAGGAGGACTTCAGAATGATTAAAGCGAGAAGGAAGTTCACTAAATAATAAAAGAGTTTCAAATTTGGGGAAGAGGGCTGAGAAAACTGGGGAAAGTCAGTGTGAACCTTCGAAGAACATGAACTCACAGATTTTGGGAGTGTGAAAGAAAATGCGAAGGAGTTTGGGTTTTATACTGGTGCTGGAGTTCAAAACACAGAAGTATGATTCTCGAAAGATAAAATGGCCTGACAGCGCACTCAGAGCACGCGAAATTATGACGGAGACATGGCGGCCGACGTTTAGATTAGCAGGGCAAAATGATGGCTCGTGCGAATTAAGAGCGCGATGACGCGTCGAAAATCCAGAGGCCGTCGTTTCACTTGACGGGGCGAAGCGACGCCCTGGGCAATGATGGCCTACACGACGTGCTTGAGGCATTAAATGCGCCGACTGGCCTGCGCATTTAATGCCCCAGTTGTCAATCACTTCTGGAGGAATGCTAAAGGTCCATCCCTTGGATTTAAGGGGTCACACCACCATACTTCACGATCCCAAATGTCGATTAGACTACCCACTTGCTCTAATCAGGCTCCACCATGCGGATTTTCAGCTTCGAGTACTCCTCCAAGAACTCTTCCTATAAATACAAGGCTCGAGCTACTTTCAAAGGGTTCAAACACCAAACCAAAGCCTCCCACGGAGCAACTTATTTTTCCTGTAATGCACTTTCAATATCTTTACTTGCTTTCCTAGGAGTAGTGTTAGACTGTAAGGAAATTTCATTCATCAATATATCATACGACCCTTGATTTTCAAGGCGCCGGAGCACCATCCTTGTTGTTCGTTCACTCACCCCATATATCATACGACCGTCGCTCCCTGAGCAACGTGCCGGAGCACCGCCCTAAACCCACCACCAACACCATCACTCAACGGCCTTGTAGTTCAGGCCGTGAACCTAACAGCCGAGACTAGTTCCCCTCTTGGCTACAATGGTTTGATTAGAAGACGTGTTCAAATAGGCGAACCACTTAACCACTTAATCATTCTATCCCCATCAACCAACTCGACGCACGGCAGACCGTGCTGGCACGCCAGTGCACAACCGCACCGCACCCAAAAGCAGGAAACCGCGTGTCAACGCACATCCCCTCGGCCCGGAACTCCAGGCCGTGGGATTTGCGCGGCAGACAAATCCAATCGCTAGAAGTATGGAATACACCAAACATTCCAATTTGGAACGAACTGCCTTTGAACTTGAATTGTCCAATTTCTTACACCTATTGATTTCGGATAGATCCCAAAACTTGGGCAACATCATAATATGGTGCGAGGAGTTATTTGGTGCGTTTTGAGTGAAATCCAATCACTAGAAGTACGGAATACACCAACCACACCAAATAGGAACGAACTGCCGTTGAACTTGAATTGTCCAATTTCTTACACCTATTGATTTCGGATCGAGCCCAAAACTTGGGCAACAACATAACATGGTGCGAGGAGTCATTTGGTGCGTTTTCAGTGAAATCCAATCACTAGAATTACGGAATACACCAACCACTCCAGTTAGGAACGAACTGCCGTTGAACTTGAATTGTCCAATTTCTTACACCTATTGATTTTGTATCGAGCCCAAAACTTGGGCAACACCATAATATGGTGGGAGGAGTCATTTGGTGTGTTTTTAATGAAATCCAATCGCTAGAACTATGAATTACCCCAACCACTCCAATTTGGAACGAACTACCATTGAACTTGAATTGTCCAATTTCTTTCACCTACTGATTTCGGATCGAGCCCAAAACTTGGGCAACACCATAATATGGTGGGAGGAGTCATTTGGTGTGTTTTGAGTGAAATCCAATCGCTAGAACGATGAATTGCCCCAACCAGTCCAATTTGGAAGGAACTGCCTTTGAGGGATCGAGCCCAAAACTTGGGCAACATCATAACGTGGTGGGATGAGTCATTTGGTGCGTTTTGAGTGAAATCGAATCGCTAGAAGTACGGAATACACCAACCACTCCAATTAGGAACGAACTGCCGTTGAACCTGAATTGTCCAATTTCTTACACCTATTCATTTCGGATCGAGCCCAAAACTTGGGCAACACCATAATATGGTGGGAGGAGTCATTTGGTGTGTTTTGATTGAAATCCAAACGCTAGAACTATGAATTACCCCAACCACTCCAATTTGGAACAAACTCCCTTTGAACTTGAATTGTCCAATTTATTACACCTATTGATTTCGGATCGGGCCCAAAACTTGGGCAACATCATAATATAGTGGGAGAAGTCATTTGGTGAGTCTTGAGTGTAATCCAATCGCTAGAAGTATGGAATACACCAACCACTCCAAATTGGAAGGAACTGCCGTTGAACTTGAATTGTCCAATTTCTTACACCTATT